TGTGTATGCTTGCTTCCTACGTCAAACACATGTCATGTGTCCAGCGCGTGTGCTCTTAAGACACCACTCGGGTATTTTCGTTTTGCTTTTATTTATTATTTTTTTTAGAAAAATTAGGTTTTATGCAATATTTCACACCCTACTGTAGTAGATAATTGAAAAGTCTCAGTATCCGCTGATAGACGGTTCCAATAATATTCTCATCTTAGGAACGAATACAAATTGAACATATATCCCACCTTGATGCGATCGTGTAGTTTGGAGGAAAAAAATGAGATAATGAAAGCATTTGTTATTCTTACTGTAGTGGCGCAAAACATTTCCAGAATCATTGCTGGGAACACGACAGATATGACAATTCATAATCGTATATGTATATGGTTAATCTGGCTCCATTGCGATTAAGTTGATCCTCTGTCATGGAAACCTCAAGTTATGGCTTCGAATGCTTCACCGATATTTTGGGACCAATCTACAGGCATGATTAAATGGGTACTTTGAATTCTAACGATTTTTGAAGACATGGATATGTCATAGGATTGAAAGAATATAATGGCAGACTAGGGTTCGAAATCCAAATTCTCTTTCTTAGAGTTTTACTTCAAATCTGAAATTTCGAATATTATTCCTTTGCCTAGCTAAGCCCAAAAATGTACAAAAAAAAACCCTAGGTAATTCTTCACAAATGAAGAATGGTAGAACTCGACCTCACCCTAATGCATACAAGTACAAGTATATATGTAAATACTATAGAGGTCCACGTAAATGCGTATTTATGAAATAACTGCTTGGTTCCACTGTTATTGTTTTTGTTGTTAAGGCATTATAATGAAACCTCGTATAACAATCACGACTTGTCGAAATTTATGAATATTTACGAGCCACTTGATCACCTACTCAAGCTCATTTCAATTTCTCCCCTTTGGAATATCCTTTTCGCAACAAACATACGCACATATAAGTATACTAACATGCATGTTTACATGTGTGTGTGTGTATGTGTGCATAATTTTAGTTGAATTACGTGTTATACCAACGCTCGTCATTGTGCGCTGTCACGGTTCATCATTTTCTTGTATGCATCCTCAATTGGCTGATCTCATTGTTGTCGTCGTTGTTGTTGTCGAGTTTATTTTCTTACTTGCATGGCATTTACTACTCCCTTCAGGTGATTTTTGGTGTGATAAACAAGCAAAAGTGTTGGCAGATAATGATCAGTCGCCATGTGATGCCAGCTGGTGGTGGTGCCCGCAAGCAACCAAGTGGGCCCAATGACGGCACACCCGGATGGTACCCCTGTTCGTGAAGGTGTGCTCGAACTTCGACGAAATTGCGCAGCAGTAAAAATTCCACACTCAATTTCACCTGAACTCAAAAGGTTGTCTTTGTTTTGTTGCTTCGCTGCTCTTTTACCTTCTGCTCGCTGATAGGTCGGTAGGGATGTATGAGTGCCTCTATGAATTTGTACGCACTATGTGAGAGATGTCTTATTAGGATAGCCTGGTGTTGATGTCAATCAATTCTTATCTCATATTGATTTGTAGATATGTATGTGTGTGTTTGAGGATTTCAATGCAATGTTTCTCCCTAATTAGTTATTGAATACATAAAGATTTGTAGATTTGGTTCGTTTGACCTTATTTGCTTTTTTAATTCTTGGAAGTTATTTAATAGTTAAATTAGTTAAAGCTTTAGACTTACACTTAGTCTTTAGTTCATAAGATCTGTTACAAGTTCAGGCCGTTATACCAAAATAAACTATAATACAGTTTTAATGAAATTAATTTTATTTAATAATGCATTTAATAAATGAGCGATGTGCAAATTTTGTTCGAAATGGTCACCCTTTGCTTTCGTACTACACTCCTCAAACGATTCGGCCATTAATCAATAGCAGCACGAACAGTTTTCATTGGTATTGACGAAGCTGCTCGAACCAAAGATTTTTTGAGACTCTTCAAAATTTCTGTAGAGTATTCGATAGGCCATGTTCTCTAACCCTGATCCCAAGCTTTAGTCCAAAGGACTCGAATCTATACTTTCAGACGTTCAATAATCTGCAGCTATGAAACCAGGAATATTGCTTTTAAGCCACTGCTGTGTCGTTTTTGCTTCGTGTGTAGGAGATCCAATGCTGTGTGCTGGAATATCCAAAGATCTCTAACGAAGAGAGTATTGCTTAACTGTTTTATTACGTCTTCTGAAACATCCTGCTGGTACAGTTTTGCTCCAGTTTGAACCCCTTTTTCACAGAAGTGAACAGATGTAACGCCTTTACAGAAGACTCCCCAACAAACTATTACAGCCTCTGAATGGTGACCTCAGAATATGATTTTTTGGGTCTTTGGAAGTTATTGCGTAGATTTTGTCATTCTGACCTGTCTACTCTTTCTGTCATCAACTGTAGACGTTTGGGAAAAGCAAGCAATTATTAGTGCGGTAAACAAATAAATAACGAAATATTAAGTTTTTGGGTATGCCGATGTTATATGAATTGAAATAGATAGATTATGTTGTACAAGGCTTGGTTTATATCGATTATTCCAATTTCAACACATTTGAGAAACCTTTAAATAAAGCTGACAAAGGAACAAGGTACATTTTTCAGTTTTCTTCCAGTTATTAACCATTCTCACTCTTATCTCATCAACCAACTTTTTTTTCTAACCCAAAAACATAACAAAGTTCAACTGTTTCGAATCTCACCATATTTTGACAACTCGTTTGATTTTTGAAGATTCTTTCAAAAATCACATACGTATAATATAACAAAAAACATTTCCCGAAAAGTCGATGAGGAATAGTTGTCGTTATTTTCAGAGTACATTTTAATCTAAATAAATCCGTGCGTTTTTGCCCGAAGTTAGATCCGATTATCGGTTTAAGCACTATTGGAATTTTCATTGTTATTGTGTCCTGAATAGGATATATTTAGTTCGATTTGATCATGTCCGCATGTCTGTATAAACGCTAGTTCGCTGTTAGTCCCACAGTTTTTGAGATATCGATCTGAAATTCTGAACACATACTTTTCTCTCTCCAAGAAACGGCTATTTGGAACCGCTGATATCGATCCACTATAAAATAAAGCTGCCATACAAACTGACCGATCAAAACCAAAAAAGTTCTTATATGGAAAACAATTTTATTTGACAAATTTTGCATGGATTATTGGCCCAGGCAATGGTGCATTCCCCGAAAAAATTGTTACCGGACCACTATAGCTGCCTTACAAACTGACCGATCAAAACCAAGTTAATTTATGGATCAATATGTCTTAATCCACTAAGGATCTAGTGTTAAGATAGTCTAGAATATCAATGAAAGTGTAAAAAAGATAATCAAAGAAGAAAAAAAACTAGCTCTTTATCCAGCCAACACACAGCCTACGGTTCTCATAACATTTAAACCATTGGCGAAATTTTAATTAAAGAAAACCATTACAGTCACATGTGTCTGTTAAATACCGAATACCATGTTTTCTGGAGAAAATGGTTTGTCTAAAATACCCTAATTAATTAATAACCTCCATTAAATGATGCTTTCAGTAAACTGCTTTAACGTGTATTAGTACTCTTAAAATGATTATCAAATTCAAGAGGAAAAAAGAGCATCCATACACTTGCTCCTCGTTGAGCGCATTAAGAAGCTGCAGATGAATGTTAAAAATTGTAAACGCTACAATAAAGTTTTTAGCATCTTTTCATTTTTTCTGCTAAGTGAATGACAATCCATTTTCCCTGAGTGCCTGTTTTGCTCTCTTTGATGGATCTCCTGCGGCTACTTGCTGCTGTTGCCTCAATAAGTTCATCAATCAATCGAAAATCACACCTTTATGCCATTCCAGAAAGGAAGAATTAAAGTTGATGGCTCCTAAAAGTGCCAACTCACTTGCTTTCATAGATGAATTTATGTTTGCGCTATCACCTAGGCAAACATGCAACACACGCACATAGAAACCGCTACGGTGCCCATTCATACGAGATAAGCTGTTTATCCTGTCATGTCCTATAGAGAGCAACTGTGAAAATTCGCTCGCTCACCGCGCAACCAACGCAGCTTACTCCATTGAAAGTTTTTTTTGAGATCGGCTATGGTCTATTAACCAACACATAGTCGTCATTCATGTTACACCCACCCGTGCATGCAATTTTGCAAAAATCACAAGAAATTGAATTCGTTTCGGCGTCATAGCTAAGCATTTCCGCACGCAGGACACTTGAAACGCACAAAGGACCTTAACGCCACACACACACACACGCTAGCAGCCAGCGCCGGCGAAATGTAATAAAGGACGACAATGGCAATGTGTCGAAAACAAACGAGCGTGGCGAACGGCACACACAGCTGGTAAGGTGCCAACGCAGGGCAAGGTGATGCAGTATCCTTGAAAATTTACGAAAATCACGTATATTCAATGAAAATTGAAAGACGGACACTTGAAAGCGTCACAGACGGCAATGAAGCTGTCCGCGTGCATATATGTGTGTGTATGTTTGTATTGACACGCAAATTCACACTCTCGCCGGTACTCCGTACACCTAAGCACCCGCAGGAAAAATGCATAAAAGGACACTTGAGCGCTAAGAGCCTTTGACAAAGCAATTCAATGAAGCGTGAAGAGTTCGAACATGAAAATGTGGACGAGAAGTGCCACTTCAGTATGAATGACACACAAACGCACATTAGCTTGGCTGCAGCCAAAGGAAATGAGGTTTTGCTGTACGTACAACACGTCACTAGGCGGCCAACATCAACCACTGTTACATCGGCTCGCATTTGCACTGGCACTCTTGCAACATGACTGCAATATTGTTTCCTTTTTTCATTCATTTACCGTTTCGAACATTCTCAACATTACCATTGCCAATCACCTTTGCGCCACATACCACACAATGCCAAAATCATTGCAAATTTTCACTTAATCCCATTCTCGCTTAGAAACGTTTAATACCAAGCCCACACACACACTCTCAGTTTACATTCAACTCTCGTTTTAGATAATCGACATTGATCCGTTCTGGGTACCGACCACCGAGGAGGAGATTACACATTTTGGCGAAAAGGCAGACTCAGCCAACCGTGCCAAAGCATACATGGACAGCGTGCGCCGACGCAAAGGACTCTATGTGGATGAGAAAGTTGTGGAGCATGCAGAGAAGCAGCGCACTTTATCGAAAAATAAATGAGGCTCTCCGAGGATGTCTATGTATTCCATTTGTGTTTGTGTATTTTTCATATAGATTGTAATTTTTTTTTTCAAATAAAAGTACAGAATATCTAAATTTATCGATCTATCGATGACTGACTACCTCCTTTGGATAGAGGGTTTAAATAGCGTTCTCTGTAAACAAAGAAAAATATTTTTTCAACTTTACAGATTTAAATAAATATGTACGGCGGATGGGCGAGGTACCCCGAGGGGAATCACAATCTGATGAGCAACTCGAGCTTCATCCCTCTTCATTCGCATTTAGTGATGACTTAACTTCTAGAACAAATTTTGCGGGCATTTAGATTTCAATTTAGGTATTTATTTCCCCTAGTTATTTTATTTTAGATAGAACTTGATATTCTTTTGAGGCGGGTCTATAACCTGCAGGTTTCCTCTCAGTTGATTTCGACAAAATATTCCAGGAGAATATTTTTTGCGAAGTAGTTCACTATACTGAGACATATCTTTGTTTAATCGAGGTTTAGGATAAATCAAAAGCCATTTTGCCTCTGCACAGTGCCCTATAGTTTCTGCAAATATACCTACTAGTTACATGGATCCTACCGGCGCTACCTAATCGTTGACCGGAGGCCGATGCCGATTCTTAGGCCTTCTATTCGATCGGCTACGTCGATGGAGGATGGTAATGTGGGAACAAAAAGTGAAGACAAACTTCAAGACTACGTACCTAGAAAGAAAACGTTCAAAATTTGCTAGTTTTCGACCCTCAAGCTATATGTTTTATGAGGCAATTAAACCCATGAAACTTTAATTAACTTATTTTGGGTAATAACACACAGGATAGGGTAATAATTATTCACCGTTTCATGAAGTGTCAGTAGCAATATGCATCAAGTTCTATGTTCTCTCCATAGCTGTTATACGTAGTTACCTTGCGATGTAGCGGTTATTAGTTCCGAAATGTGTATATATTTATTTTATTTCAAACCTCTTTAGCGCAAGGTAAAGACTTTTCTTATATAATAAATTATAACGATTTTAAAATTTGTATTAGCATTACATAAAATTTCCTAAAACAAAGTGTTCGTCCTATCTTTCATATAGAAGGTCAACTTCTTATTCTTAGAATTACTAATATTATATTGAATTCTACGATACTTCTCTCCCTTGTTATTGTTGCTAGTATAACAACATAAGGCCCTATATAAGTATGTAATTTGAAGAAGTTGTTAGCGTGGCAGCTCTTTGTCAGATGTAAATTCGTGTCGTTTCGGTTACGCACTCTCGGCATTCGTTGAAATTTTCTTCTCTGCCATATTTGCGCTTATAGCAGGAACTTGAACGGGTTTAACAGCACTGCTGGCATTCTTAGTCGCGGGATTAGCTTCATTCTCATGTATGAGTTGAGATTCTTTTTCGCTAATTTCCAGAACGGCTAGTGATTGTTCACCAAGGATGAGATGAATAGCGCTAAAAATTTGAAAAAAAAAAGAAATCGAAGAAATGAAAATATTATAAAAAGAAAAATAATTAAATCGACGTACAGTATCAGTGCGAAGACGGCTAGCTGTGTGGCAATGGTCAGTAAGAAAATACCCTGACCACCCTTGCCATCGTTATTTAAGGTAGCGCGATAGACCTGGGAATAAAAGACACCGCTAATAAACGGTATGGCATTATCGCAGACAGCGAGCAGAGCGAATACCTTGCCACGCTCGGATTGGGGCACAATTTTCGAGGTCATCGCACGAATCATTGGACCCACTATGGGACCCAAACTGCAAATGAGGGCGCCCACATAGAAAAATGTGCCAGTTTGTGCGAAGTAGTAAAAGACACGAGCAATCGCATGCGCCCAAGCACCGATGAAGATGATGGTCTGCAAGAAAAATCGAATAAAAACTTAGATTCTTAAGCAATTTGATCATCACAGGCGCACACACCGTATCTTTCCAATGGAATACTTTATTCATCAAGGGCACTGCCACCAACATGGCCACCACGTAGGCAGTGGACTTGAATGTTTTGAATGTGCTGTACACATCGACATTCCAATTAAATTTGAAGGTGGTGTATAGATATAAGTACTGATTTTCGTCGCGTTGGAATGTATACAAAGCCATAGCGATCAGTAAAATCATGAGAAAAGGACGTCGATGACCAGGTCGTTTTTTGATCAAAACAGTGAAAGAGTCCTTGACATGTTCTTTATCGAAGAAATCCGGAAAGAAACCGCAACAGCCGAGTTCGCGCAGAGAACGCTGCTTAGCGGTAGTTTGCCACTAAAATTGTTCCACTATTACTTAATCCACACTCAACCCCTATAACAGCAACAACTTACCTTCAGTACAAATATGGTGTAAATTATTGCAAGCGCTAATAATGAGGCATTCACGGTAAACATGTCCGCATACGAGTTATTAAATGCATTGTAGAAGAGATATGAACCTGAAAATCCCCTAATATTTGTAAACAAACACTAAATCCTACACCCTAATTTTACAAAAAATCTCACCTAACGCCACACCCGTTGGCATAGCGCTCAAATAACAGATGTCTAGTATGGTTACACGAAGCGTACGGTTCTTCAGCGTTGATATGTCCGAGATGTAGGCAAAGCACGATGCGAATATGGCAACGTCCGCACCCGTTAGCGCCGAAGGCAGTGTGGCTGTGTAAATGACGTACTCCAATGGCCAAGTCTTCATTCGTGCATTCACAACGATCATAACCGAGTAGATGAGTTTGCCGGTCAGGCCCATTAAAAGCGGAAATTTGCGACCGCGTCGATCGGAAAAAGAACCAAGGAAAAGCGCTAATATAATGGGAAAAACATGCGCCGAAATCGCCTCCGCTTGATGGAATTTCGCTGTTGTGATCTGGAAATAAGCGTGTTATAGTGCGTGGTGCTTATTACGTGCAATTTTTATTTTTAAAAAAGTACTGGAATGTAATTTTTTTAACAATTAATTTTGTTTATGTCAGCCGAATCAGTATTTAGATATTTATTTGAAATTCAAACAGTAATTTTATTTACCTTTCATATTTTTAACTTAATCGTATGCTCATTATATTATATTATAATATATAAATTATTATTATACTCTCGCAACCTGTTGCTACAGAGTATAATAGTTTTGTTCACCTAACGGTTGTTTGTATCACCTAAAACTAATCGAGTTAGATATAGGGTTATATATATATAAATGATCAGGATGAAGAGACGAGTTGAAATCTGGGTGACTGTCTGTCCGTCCTTCCGTCCGTGCAAGCTCTAAATTGAGATATCTTTAAGAAACTTGGTAGACAAGTTTCTTGGTACCGTAAGACGGCTTTTATTGCAGATGGGCGTAATCGGACCACTGCCACGCCCACAAAACGCCATTAATCAAAAACAAATAAATTGCCATAACTAAGCTCCGCAATAAGATACAAGACTGCTATTTGGTACACAGGATCACATTAGGGAGGGGCATCTGCAATTAAAATTTTTTTTTAAGTGGGCGTGGTCCCGTCCCTAATAGGTTTAATGTGCATATCTCCTAAACCGCTAATGCTATAATAACAAAATTCACTGGAAGCAAATGTTTTTAGAACCTCTACCCACAGTGGGAAAATATATATAAAATTCTCACATTTCTATGTTATAGTGCGAAAATGGGCGAAATCGGACTACAATCACGCCTATTTCCCATATAACACCATTTTCAATTCCATCTGATTCTTTCACTTTCCACTATGCATATCAAGCAACAATGATTATATCGGGGTGAAACTTTGCGTGAATAATACGTTTAAAGTATGCCACCTTGTGACCAAAAATTGTCTAAATATATACTGAAATATGGACCCCAGTGCCTATAGTTGACTTTTTACCGAAAATATCGGTCAACATAGAACAAGGCGACAAGATCCACAAAGAAATCTCAAACGAGTATACCATTTGACTTTGCGAGAGTATAAAATGTTCGGTTACATCCGAACTTAGACCTTCCTTACTTGTTTTTTATCTACATTTTTGTCATATTAGATAAGATTTCATTTAATTTCGAAAACCTTACTTTATTTCCTTTAAATATTATTTGTTATTAATAATTTTTTATCAATTATATACATATATTTATTATATATAGGTATATATTATCTTATTTTTAATTAATTATGTATATTAATGGAAATATTTTTCTATTTTATTACATACATACACATAAGTACATATATATACATACATCTACGCATATTAATTTAATTTTTTTTATTTTTAAAGTATTGGCTAATTTTTCTTTAAAGCATTTTCGGTTGTAATAATACCATAGTGAATTACCTGCACTTGTCTTTTATATATGGCGTTCTCATCCGCCATAATGTTCGAACATATTTCATCGGTAAAATTATTGTTAACCCGACAGGCCTTCTGTACGAAAAAGTCCTGTTCCACCACAGAGGTTATCATGAAGGCAAACATATACAGGAACATTGTGGGCTCCACAGATATCTGTTACACAAATATTTCAAGGGTTAAACGTATTCCCTGCACACATACGAGTATTTACTCACCTTTTCATACCATGGGGACATGCAATTCTTTTTGATTTTTTCCCAACGGCTGTTGGATTGCTCAGTTCGCGCTCTTTCATCCTAAAAGTATACCATCATTTACTATATTGTACACATTAAACAGCTGTTATTTATGTTCCACACATTTGCGTTGCTCTACAAGGCATGCGCAAACAAAATTTACTCGGAGTTGCCATGATTCTGTTTTATAACCATGGTGGTGTGTTAATTTAAACAAAGTGGTACACAAATTTCTATTTGATCGACTTACAAATTGTTGTAACCTCAAATAACTTAAGTTCATAACTTAAAAAAATGTACGTAACCTATAGTTACCTTTAAAGTTCAAACTTTCGTTATAATTACTTGTATAAGAAACTCAAAATTGGTATTATGAAATTTATGAACAAATTTAATAAAAACTATAAGGCAACGTCCATCAGTACATGCTTATCTTAACTCCAAATAGGAGGTCTTTATTCTAAATCGCAGCCATAATATGACATCAACGTGACAGCTATTTAAACCAATAATAACTTTTTATAAAGTTAAACTTATTTAAAGTTTTTCTCTTCAATGCTCGATTTTTACTACTTTAACATTAAATTATAAATTTTTATTTTAAGGACTCACATTATCTGTGTTATCTGTGCTAGTGGGGCTGTATTTCACTCGTGGCCTGTTTGCCATTACATACTAAAAATTTTCGACACTTGGCAGCCCTAATGGCGTGAACACACAACTAGTGCGTCACTAAACAATGTTATAACTTCGTCAAGGAAAATCCACGTAACACAGCAGTTCCGCCACCAATCTCTGGTATAATGAGTGAATCTCCGCTTGATTATAATAAATTTGTAAATGTTAAATTTGAATCAAAATTTCTAAACAGAAATTTTTCACATTGCCGAGCTAATTCACTAGTTTGCCAAACGACTGACAAACTTCAAAGTATTAGATACGAGTATAAACTATTGAAGATGTTATTCGCGCGAATATTCTTCATGAGTGGTTCACTATCACTATCAATATCTATTCAAATATTTCTTCCTAAATCCCGGTATTTCGCAACATTGAATGTTTGTATAAAAGATGCACGCGTACTTGGATCTTCATTATGGCAAATATTTTTGCTTACTTTTTTTTTTTAATGCATAGCTACCTACATACACCACTCAACCAAACACAAGAATTATTATATTTTCACCAATGTGAGTAAATTGAGCGCGGTTCACTCTCTTTCTCTCTCTCTCTCACATTTATACTCACCTCGGTTGTAGTATCCATTTACCGGCAGCTGAAGTCAGCACGTGTGAGTTTTGTTTATTTTGTTGGCTTCAATTTATATAAAATCTGTTATTATGTACAGGGTTGCCGTTTATCTTTATATTTTATGCCGTTTCTTCGCTGAATTATGCCACTGAGAATATTTTCATGTTTTTAATGTTGCATTTACATTTTCCTTATTTCATTTCTTCTCCATACATTTCCTTAACCTACTTATGTTATGGTTAGCTGCTATTTAACTTTCTTGATCTTTTGTAGATTAAATTACAATGTTATTCGCACTATTTCCTAATATAATGAACTTGTAAATTAGAGGCAATAAAAATTTAATTAAAAATTAAAAACATATTTTGTTTCAAAACTATTTACTGCCAGCATAACAAAATTACAATTTTTTTTACAAATAAAACAAAGTTTACAAGAAGTCAGTAGTACTTTAGAGTACTCAGAATTCGAAACTGCTTTGAAGGACTTAATACTCAAATAATCATGACTATGTACTGCGTATCCTGACTGAGGGATCGCACCAGTAAGGGATTTTATCTTATAATATTGTACTAAATATATCCCTAAAAGTTAAGGGATTATGCTATGAACTGGTCCCCCACCAATTGTATTCACCAGATTTGGCCACCATCTACTATTTCCTCTTTCCCAGAGTCAAAAAGTGGCTCTTTAAGAAAAGATTTAACTCAAATGAGGCTGTCAGATAGCAACAAACGCATATTCTGAAAGCTTCGAGTTTCTACTGTGTCGAACCGATATCGAAATGTTGAAAGACCGTCACAAAAAAGCATTACGCCAGATGGTGGTCTAGATTCTCATAGTGTCGAAGGTTAAAGCCATATTTTCATTCAAAGATAGTTCTTTCCCTGAACTTTTTAGTCCTTGAAGGAAACCTCATTTCTTTTTATTACAACTGTATATTTAAAAATAACACAGAGTTGCATTAAAATTGGTAAATTACGCATGTAACGAACGTTTTTAACGGTATGTATGGTACAAATACGACCTGTAGTGTGAACTGTCAACTCTCTAACCGCCTCTAACTTTATTTAAATAAAAGTATTTAGTTTAAATAATAATATACACTTCTCCTTTCACTATTATATTAATTTTTATTTATTTTGAGATTATATTCAAATTATTATTGCATTATCTTAAGGGTACAAATTGTAGTACTTACATATATTGGATTTATATAGTCTATAATTAAAGACACTCTACAGACAAATACATAATTCATAAACAAAGATAACGCCTATAAACAAGCAATATTTGCTGATTGTAGAAGCTATCAGTGAATGATGACTGCTGGGTCGAGGCACTGTGTGATTGAGTCTTACTATTAGAGCTACAATTTTCCCGACATTATTGACATCTGCGATTAGATTACGCGCCTCATTTACACGTCGATAAGAGATAATCAAATTTACGTGCGAAACTCATACATATTAGCGTATGTAGGTAGAGCTTATGGAGGTAAATTATGGAGGCATTTTCCGTGAGTTTTTATACATTTTTAAAAAGAAAACTTAGGTGCAAACTGACAGAAATTTTATCTCCAAATATATAAATGATTTAGTCCAATCATAAGCTATATTTATAACATCTTTTCAGTTTCTCTACAAAAACTTAGCTGAACGCCACGCCTATTTCCAGTATAATGAAATTTTCAAGTAGCAAAATTAAAAGATTAGATAAGATGCACCGCTCTTTTAGTTGCTAATTGACGAGTTATCAAACTAAATGACACTTTCACGTGCATTTCAGCTTATCAGATACGTGATGTCATATTTAAAATACCATAAGCCCATAAACATAAGTATGTGCAAACATGTAAGTGCTTTGATACTACATATATAGTAGAGGGAACTTTGTTGTAAATTAATAAAGAGTTGTGAAGTCGTAAATTATGATTAACAATATCGTAATTATTTGAACAAAGTAGACACAATTGATAACTTAAATAGATTTTGTATCTTTAACGAAACAGGTTTTCATTTGGTCATGTTAAAGGGAGTGCACTGTATTTTAAATATTTTCTTGAAACTTAAAATTTGAAAAAAAAGAATACAAATTTTGTAAGGAGAAAAAATTATTTTTCCATATTTTTTTATTTTAACACAAAAATAGCCGCTTTTAAAGCTTCGAAGTTCGCCAGAAAAAACTCATTTGAACAAAATATCACTGAAACAGTTTTTGCCGTCAACTCATACATAAAGCCGTTATATACTCGTAATATTAATTTATATTAATTTTGTTGTTTTTATTGTAATTATTCTGCATTATATTTCAACTCCTCTCTTCCGAATTATTTGAATACGCAAGTACAAAAAATGTAGTTATTTTTCTTTATTTATATTTATACTTTTTAGGCAAACGTGTTGAGTTTCCAAACTTAGCAAAACAAAAACAGCAATTGAAATTTTTTTCCCTTGTGCCGATATGCCGCACCGTTCACTACGCTGATCGCATTCCAACTGAACTTAAAATTTTAAATTGCCGCAGAGCGTCGTGTACAGCGATCTCAACAGCGATATTTTCATTCAAGCGATTATTATAAAGCTCTTAACTCTGGAAGTCAATTTATGATTCTCTGATTTCAAACACTTGGCAGCAGACATAAATAAAGTATCGAATGAGCTTCAACAAAATTATATTTACGAGTGATAGCTTTACTTCTGGATGATTTAGAAAACAGTTTCAAAACACAACTTATAGGCAAATTTTCGAATGACGAGTCAAACAAGCAGTCGCTCTTATTTCTCTTAGACCAATTCATAACCAAAGAACAAAAATATGATGGAATGCAAGAAAGGACTGGTCAAGGATCATATTTTTACTGCTTTTTAAAGCAATTCTTACACTGTACAACACTCGACTTAGTATTAGACTAAACAACTATTTTTTGAAAAATTGAGTCATAAGTAAAAACATTAAATCCTCCGTTTTTTGCAGATAGCCTCCATATTTATATTTTGATATCGAGCTTTTTGAAAATACTATTATTATTACTAGTAAGTAAGTTCGTAAAAAATTAAAAACATATATATCGTCCACGTTTTTCTCTTATTTCAAAGGTGTATAAATTTTCGATCAAGCTTATAAAACAAATGCTATAATTGGTTAATATCGGGCCAGTATTTTTGAAATTAAAAATATTTAATAATATAATTATTAAAATTTTACGAGAATGATAGTATACCTAGTTCTCATGGATCAGTTCAAAAATTTTACTATAGGCGGGACTCCGCTAAGTTTAAGGTTCATGTCTCACGAAATAGTTTTCAAATTTGGTATATAATATTCTCTAGTTGGTGTTTCATGCAAATTTAAGAAGATGTAAAATCAGACGAAACCCGCGCTTACTTCCCACAGAACATCAATCCTTTTCAGGTTCATTCATCTGATAATAGACAAATTAATCAATGAAACTTTCGCAAATTATATGTGTATAGCGACATAATCCATAAAGTAGAAATGAAGTACTTGTACATTTTTAATTTATAAAAATATATATTAGTAATCTACAAATGTATTGGTACTTAAAAGTAAATACATTTTAATAGCACTTAATCAGTGCGCGTTTTGAAAATTTAATT